TTTTTTTTTTTAAATCTGATAAAATTGTATAACAAAAACTCGCGCATCGCACGGATCCTATTATAGTAATATAACATTTATGGGTATCTCAAAACTTAAAAAACCCACTCAAAAATCTCTCATTTGAGAAACTCTTGAATAAGTTTCTCAAAATTTGAGATACCAATAAATATTTTAATTATAATTTTTTAATAAAATAATTATATTAATATTTTATAGTATTTTGAGAATTCGTTCTAATACTGTTACGGTTCTTCTTGAAAAAGACAATTACTACGAAGGGTACCGCATTAAAACTTGAACTAACTACGTAGATGCCATGTACAATAGTCAAATGCATGATGATGACGTCGCTCGCTCAAATGAAAATAACGTAGAATTCCGACGATATTCAATCTTATTTATCGGTACATTTTAATCTAACGTGCTATTTTGTTTAATGTATAATTAACATGTTTGAACCATTTTTATTTGGCCAGTCGAAATGATGTCATGCTTTAGGCCCATTAAAAATTTTGATGAGTGAGTTACTCGATGGCTACACTCAAGGACAAAGCTACATGCAACAAATTGGGGACAACTGCACCCACTCAAATTTTGTAGACAATATATTTTTTTAAAAATCCAAATTATTGCTCCCATGTCAAAAACATTTTTTGCCCCATGGATTTTTTTAATCTCAAGTTATTGTCTAAAAGATCAATTTAATGGGCTAATTTCTATAAAATCCATCGACATCAATTTATTTCTATATAACATTTAAAGGCCTTTAAACTTAATAAATTGATTTTCTAATGTAAGAGTCTCATTTTCTTTATTAGTTTCATTTTTTTTTGCCGGTATTAGTTTCATCTATATCTTTAGTTTACTCATTTTTTTCAATTTAATAGTTCCTATATATAAATATTTTATGATATTATTAGATTCATTATGTACTTATTTTTCAAAACTACAATTGATTTCTAATTTGTTTTCTTAACTCAAGTTATTCAAATATATTGAAAATACAAAATACGAAAAGATTATTTTTCTTAATTTTTTTGATGAAAATTGTATGTTGAATATAGAGACCCCTTTTTCTATATATAGAGTATATAATATTTTTGTTTACTAAAAATTTAATGTTTCATAGTTTTTGTCCCCAATCCTAAAATTTCTAGATCCGCCCCTGGTTATACTCACCCTAGAGGATTAGTCAAATAGTAAAAATCCGGATTACCGCTGATACAATGATTTTCTATACCCAAATGATCTTAATCCGGTTTGGTTGGATGATTTCGTAAGGTTCGGTGGGCCAAGACCCAAACTTCTGCAGCTTGGATTAAATGAATCAAATTAAAATAATAACCCGACCCGGAACTGTAACCGGGTCATTTTACTCGCGTGTTTCTTTCATCTTCTTCCAAAGTTGTAATCAAATCCACTTTCCCCAATTTCTCACCCAACTCT